TTTTTTGCGGAACCGGGGATTGAACTCAGATCTTTGCGTTTGCTGGTCAAGCGCTTATCCTACTGAGCCATCTCCCCGGCCCCCCTTCTTTATATTTTTAATGTGAAATGTTTCAATCACTTATAAGAACAATGCTAACTTTTGCTCTCTGCAGAAATCTCCATATGCAAACATTGTATTATCTCTTCGTGTGAGGACCTGAAGGAGAAAATGGAATCTGAAGGGTATATAATAGATACTGGGAAAAGGGAATGAACTATTCAAAAGGAAAGTTACTGAGTTGAGGGAGGAAAGGAGAGGGAGTGGGGGAAGGAGATATATCTATGTATGTAAACAGGATAGTTTGGATAACTGTACTTTGGATTTCTGCTGGTCTATGGCAAGGTGCAGATAATGCATAATTTGTTTTTGTTGTTTTTATTTTCTATTGTTTCTCCTTTTTTCTCTTATTTTCTTATATATTTCTGTCTCCCAATTTTACATGCATATATCTGGTAATATGAATAACTGGGTGGAAGACAACACTGAATTACAACAAATACTGTGAAATTCATATTTTACTTTGTTAAGTGAAATTTTGTATCACTGGTAACTTTTTTTTTTTTTTGTACGGGGATTGAACTCAGGATCTTGCGCTTGCCAGGCAAGTGCTTATTCTGAGTTATCTCCCCAGCCCTAAGGTAATTTGTTTTAATACTATTTTGAACTCTTTATAAAGTAAAACTAAAAAAAGAAATCTCAAGTGCTTTTAGATGTCTTACAAAGCGCAAGGGGAAAAGTACATGAAAACATTTAACTTAATATCAGCATTGCTGGGTGTGGTGGTGCGCACCTGTAATCCCAGCACTTCGGAGGCTGAAGCAGGAGGATCATTTTGAGTTCCAGGCCAGCCTGAGCTGCATAGTGAGACCATCTCAAAAAGACGAAATAAGTAAATAAATAATATAAAGCTATCAGAGTGGACCCAAATTTAAAAACATATAATTAATTGTATTTTAAAGGAACGGTTAAGAAGCTATCAGCCTAAGGTAATTCTAATTCTGGGGCTGCAGGGACCCTACTCCCCTAGTCCAGAAGGGAGGAACCTCCTAGTTCCACGCAGTGATTCATGGTTCGGTCTTCCATTCTCTGGGAACTTTGAAGAACCTAGAGATTGGAGAAGGAAGACTTTTCCACTGCTTCTGCCTACTGAGGGTAACTTAATGCCTAGCGTTTGGCCGCAGCAGGTAAGTGGGGATCCGCTTCCAAATAGCGCTCACTTATTTGGTCTACGAAAAGCAGTAGGAAGCCGAGCCTAGAAAGAAACCAACGGCCAAGTAAGCCAAGGGCCATTCTCAGGAGTGTCCGGGAAGCGTTTTAGCTCTCACAAGCAAATCCACCTCGAACCGCCCCAGCTCCAGGTTTGCGAGAGGAGGGCGCATTACTCGGGCTACTGAGGCTGCGCGAACTGTAATTTCCGGGGCGGGGCACCTGGCGGCACCGCGTCGCCGTGGAAACGGGGGTGTGGTCAGCACGAGGCCAGCTTCTGGAGAAGCGCGAAAAGCAAAACCTGGTGTGGTCTGCGCGGGCCCGAGGGGGGCTTCCTGATTCCGCTGGTTCTCGCCGCGACTCCTCCAGGGCGCCACGCCGAGGGTCTGGGCTTCTTCAGGTACGAGGCCCTTTTTGGTCGTCCCCAGCCTTTAAGTGGCTCTACTTTTCTGTCTGTGAGTCCGGAAGCGAGCACAAATGCTTCCGAGTTAGGCCCCGCGACTTCTGTGGCCTCCGCTTTCTCTCAGAAAGGTGAAGGGGCTGAGTGATGCTGTCTGCCCGCGGGGCTCTGGTCCCTGCGTGAGAGAAGGACCCACGGAACGGAGCTCAGTGTTTGCCAGGTTCCGGGGAGCCTCTGGACAACCTCTGGTCGCTTTCCGCCCTGCTGGTGCGCTGCAGCCCCGGGTCGGAGCCCACGCGACGCTCTTGGGCGTGCGGGAATGCGAATCAGTTTAGGGATGCCAGCTGCGTGACTGGGCGAGCGGCTAGGCGTTAGCATTCGGCCCAGGAATTCTCTCCCAAAGTGAGAGGTGGGTGCTTCGTTTTTATTCTACTAGGAGGCCGTTCCTAGGTGTGGTCAATCTGTGTAGATGTGTAGTGTTTGTTGAGGTGGATGTCTTAGGCACTTGAGAACTAGTCCTCGTTCCACAGCTAGAGGGACTGGGCATTTATCTGTAAAATGGAGCTGGCAGTCACCTGCTGAGGTGGTTGTATTAAAGTAGTTAATTTATGCAAACTGCAGAGAATACCGGTATTATAAATGCTATTTTGATTATAGTCTATTCATTTTACATTGGTACTGGCCTAACGGTTGTGAAAAGTATGAGACATAGTGATGTCAGGGAAGGCTTCTTGGAAAAGCTGAAACTTATTCGGGGGTTTAAAATATAAATTTCTTCTTCTTCTTCTTCTTCTTCTTCTTCTTCTTCTTCTTCTTCTTCTTTTTTTTTTTTTTTAATAAGAGCATTCTTGGGCCAGGGAGATAGCTCAGTAGAATAAGCGCTATCTCCCCGGCCCTATTGTTTGTTTTAGTTAGAAACTGCAAAATACTGAAGAAAAGTCAAGATATTTTTTACATGTCTTCCAAATTAATAGGTTTAAAAATTAATATTAAAGCTTAGAGCAGAAAATAGGCCCTAACTGCATTCTTCTGTTTATTTTTCATATTACTTATAAATTTGAAGTATTTTTGTAGTGATGTTTCTCCATTTGTCAGTTTTATACTTTGTGCTTATTGTTACTCATGGCAGGTAAATACTTATAATTTTCCATTCCTCCTCTCTCCAAGGTTGTTGTACAGTAATTTCTTGTTGAAATAGTGTTTACACTACATGACATAACAAATAATTCTTCTTTTTCTTATTTATTTATTTGTGTGTGTGTGTGTGTGTGTGTGGGGCCAGCTCAGCCCACCAGGGGGCGGACTGGCTGGCATGTGGTGCTGGGGGATTGAACCGTGGTCCCTGGGCTTTGCTAAGCTTGTTCTAAGTAGGTGCTTTAGACCACTGAGCCATCTCACCAGCCCGACAAATACTTCTGAATCACCTGTGAAAGACTAATTCTAAATAAGGTCGCATTTATAAGTATCAGAGATTAGGACATCAGCATATCTTTTTGAAGTTTATTTTATTTATTTATTGTGTATGTGTATGTGTGTGTGTGTGGCCAGCTCAGCCCACCAGGGGGCGGGACTGGCTGGCATGTGGTGCTGGGGGATTGAACCATGGTCCCTGTGCTTTGC